GAGCAGGAGCTGCCTCCAAAAGTGAGCGGTCAAACGACTGCTCAAAGCCGCACCTTGACCATCGGCTGCCACTTGGTGACGTCCCTGCTGGTCTCCTCATACCCCGCCTTCCGCTCCTGCCGCTCCCGCACCGCCCGCGGCAGCGGCGCCTCGACCGGCGCCCCGCGCCGCTCCATCCGCTCGAGCGCCTTGCGGCTCGCGCCCAGGCGCGGCCTTGCGTCCCCCAGGCCGGCCACGAGGTCGGACAGCCGCAGAGCCCCGCCGGCGCCGCCGCCGTCCTCTGCACCGGCGCCCGCGAATTCAGACTCCGGGTATGCCTCTGCCACGACGCGCGGGGCGCGCGCGCGGCGCGCCGCGCGCGCGTCGTCATGGCCGCGGCCGACCGCCGCGGCGAGCATGTCCCTTCAATGGAGGAAGAGTGGAGGCAGGGGGCGATCAAGGGTCAAAGTCGGGCGGGCCGTGGGGCGCGAGGCAGGGGTTCGGGGCGCGCAGGGGCGGCGCTCGCGCGTCACCCACAGGAAGCTGCCCCATGCCCCCATCCATTGCCTCTTGCACACCTGTAGGCGTCGTCGTCCTCGCCCTCCCCACCGCCCTCCTCCCCCTCCTCTTCCTCCTCCTCCTCCTCGCCGCCGCTGCTGCCGCCGAGCAGCTCATCGCTGCTGCCGCCGCCCCCCGTCGCAGCTGCATCGCCGTCTAGGGCGGCCAGCATGTCGCCGCCATCCTCAAAATCGAGGTCACTCTGGGGTGCATGACAGCGCGATCCAAGAAAGAGGGATGTCTCGATTGATGCATGCACCAGCAACAACGAGCCTTCGCTGCAGGCCGCCGGGCCTGGCAGGGACATAATGCGGAGCGGGGCGCACCTCCAAAACAGTACGTCCTTACTAGTTCCCGGAGAGCAGATACAGCGGCAAGAGGCGACTGCAAAGCACTGCAAGGCCACACGCCGCCATGGACCCCGAAGCAGCCGCCGCCGCTGCACCGCGGCTGCTCGCGCCGCGCGCCGCACCTCGTGCTCCGATCCCTCTTCCTCCGCGCCCTCCTCGCTGCTCTCCAGGTCGGCGAATTCCGCTCGCTCCTTCCTACCGCCCCGGCCGGCAGGGGTGGCCGCGGCGTCGGCGTCGTCGTCGCCAAACCAGCCAGCGTAGCGCATTTTGTCCTCGGCGGTGAATGCCATGTCCTCGTCGATCTCCTCATCTTCAAAGTCAGAGGGGAGCTCGTACTCGTAATTCTCCACATGCTGCGGGTGCGAGGGGGGAGTGTTCAAGGGGAGAACAGCAGCACCAGCCGTCACCCACAAGGAAACGATCTGGAGCTCACGTCGAAGCGGTCGGTATGCTTCTCCTCATCAGGGTCGGAGTCCTCAGCCTCGTAGACGTCGCTTTTCTGTTTGCGCCGCTTTCCACGTGGAGGGGCCTTCCCCTGCTGTGGGACGGCCCTCTGGCGCTTCGCCATGGCGGCTCAGGAGCCCCCTAAGCGTGCTAATTTTGAGAGAGCGACATCTGTATTGCTGTAGTAAATGAAGCCGCCCTCGGGTTGCATTCATGTTGCTCGGCGGCCGCCGCCGTTGCGCAGCTGCCGGTCTGTGTTTTGTCGGACAGCCTGTTGGGGATGCTCCGCACCCAACGGCGTGCACAGGCGCATGCAGGACGCCTTTTTGAGCACAGCATCGCCTGCAGGCTTGTCAGCCATTGCATCGAAATAGTCAACGGGTCAACTCTGTGCCTCTGCTTCTACACGCTTGAGCACTGAAGACACAACGCCCGCAGGATCAAAAATACATTACTCTGATTGCAGTTCGTAAAGAGGTTGCTGCAGCGTGTTGCCTCCCCAAAACCTGCTTACCGCTCGCGCGCCGGCCCGCGGCGCACGGCCATCTCGCCTGCAAAGCCCACGATCGCCTCCGCCAGTTCAGGCGGGATCGCCCTGAACCGCTCCACCTCGCGCCGCAGCCGCTCGCCCTCCGCCACACAATCGCACCACGCCTCAAAGGCGGCCCCCTCCAGCCGCCAGGGATCAGCCACCAACAGCCTCCCCACTGCCTGCCTCGCGACAGGATCTTCTCCGGCAGCCGCCAGCGGCCCGCATGCGGCCATGATGCACATCGCCGCCCCGTCGCCGGCGCCGGCCAGATGGAGGAGGGCTGCACGTGCCCAGGTGCCCGTGCACTCGCAGTCTGGTGTGGCGTCGTTCACACGAGTCAGTGCAGCAACAAGTGCCTCCACCAGCCCAGGCGCGCCGGCCCTCTCCTCCACCAAGCCGCGCCGCGCGTCGCCCCACACATCTAGAATGAGGCGGGTCGCCAGATTGGCGAGCGGCGCCCCCAGGCTGTATGCACGGGACAGCGCCGCCCGGCAGGCGGGATGGGCGGCGATATCGCCCGCCGCGGCGTTGCTGTCGTCTGAGAGTCCGAACAGCACCTGAAGCGCGCACCTCGCCGCGTCGCCGCCGCTGCTCTCATCAGCGGCGACAAGTTCCGCCAGCGCCGCCAGCGTCCGCTTGCAGCCGCGGAACGACTCCTGCACCTCCACGGGCGGGGGACCCAGCCGCATGAGGGTTGTGGCGGCCCGCTGTGCATGCTGCCCGCCTGCCAGCAGCGCGCACCTGAGCGCAGCCCAGCAGCCCGGCAGACGGGCGACAAGTCGCATCTCAGCAGGGAGGCCGGCTTCGGCGGCCAAGGCGCCCACCACTGCAGCGGCGCCCAGGGGAGAATGTTCAAGGGCACCACCAAGGTGCTGATTAAAATAAGGGTCTGTCGAGAGGGCATATGACAATACCGCGTCAGAGGCAAACACGTGTCGCAGCACAGCCAGAGCGGCTGAGGGGAGCTCGCCCACGCCTTCTTCATCTGCCGAGTAATCCGGCCAGCGACCCGGGTAGCAGACAGCGTCGAGGAGCGCCGCCGCGTAGCCGCCGGCCCCGCCGCGCATGGAAGCGGCTGTCGCTGCCGCGGCGCCATGCGGCGCCCGGGCGACCGCGCTCAGCAGCACGATGGCGGCCGCGGCGCCGCCGCCGCGCCTCGCGAGAGCCGCGCATAGTGCCTCGACAAAGCCGGGGACGCCGCAGGCGGCCTCAGCTTGGTGGGGGTGCGCGCGAATGACTTTGACCAGAGCTTGCGCCGCCAGGCCGGAAACCTTGAAGCCGCCGTGGACGACGCGGCCGGCCAGCGCCGCAGCGCAGCCTGGGACGGCGGCTGTTGGATGCTTGAATGCGTCATCGGGGTCGCATGTGCCACTCATGATGACCGCCAAAAGCGCGGCGGCGGCCTCCCCGTCTGCGCCGCCTGCGCCGGCCGCGGTCGCGACCGCCTCGGCGTCCCTCATGTGGCGAAGCAACCCAAGCACCAGTGCCAGGTATTTTTTTGTGTGGGTTCTTCTGGACGAGTGCGCAAGGAAGGAGATTCTGGGGGCGGCCGACTTCTTAGAGCTCTGGGTTGGCAGCTGCCTGCCCGGGTGGCGGTGCAGGTTGCGCTGTATCCTCAGACCATGATGGCGTCCGCGCGCTGGATGTCGTGGCTCAGGGCGACCGGACAATGCTTGCAGAAGGATTTTGTGCCTTGCATGGTAGCCTGTGGCGGTGAGTTGTGGGGCCCAGATGTGTCGCAGCATGCATGCACCATCCGCAGTGCACATCAGCGCGGCCTCGCTGCACTGCCGGAGCGCAGGCCCGCCTGCCACGTCAAGGATGAGGCGGATTTGCCTGATCACCTGTTGTACGTCGTGTATGAAAGACCGCGATGATACAGAACGTTGCTACCCAGGGCCTCCCTTTGAAGTTGTTGTGTGTGAAATGGATGGTGTCATGCAACCATCGTATATGGTATATGAAAATTATGTCGCTTACCCTTTCATAGTGCAGATTTCGCAGCCAGATCATCGACGGCGCGTTGACCCGCTCGTAGAGAGTGTTATAGGGGGCTGCGGTACTGCAAGTATTGCGGAGACATTCATTCGGCTGCATTCAAATTTTCCAAGCTCTGGCTGGCCGCTCTGGTCTTCATGGAATTTTTTGTACCATGCTGCTGCATTGCTCAGGTGCCAGGCAGCAGTACGTCTAGCAGGTAGTGGTATCATGTCTGGGAGCTGCCAGCAATGCCAAATTTTGATCTAAGTCATGCGGAAGGCTTACATCACATCCTTGTATGACTGCTGCGTCTGCCTCTTACACCACCGCCGCAGCCGCTGCGGCGGCCATCTTGGCCCTGAGGCTCCCGATCGCAGACTGCGCCCCCACCGCCGCGCACAACAGCCCCAGCAGCAGCACCGCCCCAGCGCATGCCACACCCGCGGGCGACAGCTCAGCGCCCAGCAGGCGCACGTGCATCAGCGCGGGCAGCACCAGCGACACGGTCATCGTCAGCACCGCCCCCACGAGCGACATGAGGTCAGCCACGTACGGCAGCACAGCCGCGGCGGTCGCACAAGCCACCCCTAAGCCTGCGAGAGCAAATGAAATAACAAGGAGCGCATGAGGGGGACAGAAGCAGTCAAAAAAAGAGGCAGCTCCAGGAAGGTCTGCGCGAGAGGTCCGCAAGTTGTGAGATGCCTGCCCCCATCGGCCCAGCCCTAAGTTGCAGTCTTGCCGCGGCAAGATTGAACCCACCTAGGCGCAGCGCCGCCCTGACAGGGTATGGCGGCTGGCGGCTGCTGCCGCGGGAGACGCCTCGCTGCAGGGCCAGCGCGACCGGCTCAAGCGTGAGGGCGAACGCCGCAAAGGGGCTGACAGCCGTCGAGACCAGACAGGCCACAGCGACGGCGGTGCCCGGCGGCAGGCTGGCGGTGATGACATCAGCAACTCCCGTTCCTGGGGTGGCAATCGAGACCCGGGGCGTGGATGGCAAAGGCAAACCGCTGAAGTTTCCCGGGCGCCAAGTCATGCCAATAAACTGTGGGAATGGTGTAAGCAATCAAAGGCTTCATGGGAAGGTCGCATGCATGCCTGCCGCCCCTTAATCCCCCCCACCCCCCCCCCCCACACCGCGTACCATACAGCAAGTAACCAAAGGCTGCGACCGCGGTGCAAATGGCGGCAACACACAGGTATGAGACCGCCAGCACCCTGCGTGTGGGCGGCGACACGGGTGGATGCCTTGTCAACGATCGCGTCGCCGCACCAATACACCAAGCGAGCTTGCTGGACGCGTGGTGACGTGTGTGCGGGTCATGACAACCTCCGCGGCATGAGCACAGACCTTGTCGTCAACCTTGTTGTCTGCGCTGGGCCCCGCCGCGCAGGCAAGCCTCATCAACATCTGCTGTCCCGCCGTGCCGGCCGTGTTGCTGCAGCCGCTCGACACTCAGAATTGGTCCAGCCTCACGCACGACACGCCCCAGCCGCAAGAAAAACCCTCCATTCACATCAGAGTGACAGGCCTGGCGAACAAGACCTCGCCACCCACCTCGGCGCCTTGGACGGGCTCCGCATCGACTGCTGCACCACAGGGAACGTCGAGTGCCCCGCGTACACAAACGCCACGCACCCCAGCACCTGCGCGAGCGTCTCGGGCGCCACCAGCCGCGTCGCCGCCGCCGCGGCGCCCGCGGCCGCGCCGCTGCCGCACAAGGCCGCGAGCGCGAGGCCGACTGCGACGGCGGAGCCCACGCTGAGGGCGCTTAGGCTGCTGAGGGCCGCCAGGTCAGGCAGCAGGACGGTCGGCACGACGAGCGCCGCGGCGAGGAGCACAAACGCAGGGCAGCCCGCCGGGGCCGCGCGGAGCAGCGCCTCCCCGAAGGCCGTGCGGGTCAGCAGCGCCGACAGCGCCTCGGCCTGCGCGAGCGCGCGTGGCGTTGCTCAGCGCGCCCGCTGTGCCAGCTTGGGGCCCCTTGTTTTGTTCTTCTGCATCACCCCTGCGATATCGTGGCACGCTCCAGGGCGACGCCTTTGGGCCCTGCATTCCCTGCCCTGCAGCCTCAGGCGGGCCCTCACAACCTTGATGCCAGCCTCTCCGGTGCCTGCACAACCGGGCGCCCAGCCGCTCAACGCTAGCCCTGCTGCCCCCCACGTGCACGCTCGCCGCCCCCGTGGCCCCCTCCCCCGATGCTGGCGTGCCTGCCCACCTCAAGCACAAGGTAAACTGTGCAGATTCCCAGCAGCTCTGCGTACATGACTAATCCGACCAGCTTCCGCCCCAGCCCCCCAAACGCAGCTTCCGCCACATCCTCGTAGCCGGCCGGCTCCGCCGGCCGCGGCGG